CAGCTCTTGCTTGCTAGACCAAGAAGGAGGAACGTGGTTTTATGCCTAACCTCTGTCACACAGGCAAAGCGAATCCTGTTGGTAAGAGAAGGGGGAACTTCCCTCGCCCTGTGCCTGTGATTACGGCTCATGGCCTGGCTCCGACATCGGCTCCTGGTGTTGTGCAAGAGTGGAAGAGTTTGTTCTCCTCGCCTGGGTATTTCATCACCCCCCAGCCCGTGCTGGTATATCTTTCTGTTGGGTGACGCACACCATCCCCTCCATCAGTTGGCAAAGACTTGCTTTCTCTTCTGCATCCTTGGTACGTGCCACGCAAGCCCCAACACTCTGTAATGGAGAGCCTGTGCTTTAGAGCAGCTTAACAAAAGCAAATCCCACAGAGTCCACCCCCAGTTGCAGAGGACTTGCTGCAAATCCGTGCCCTTCTGGTTCCTCATTATTGGGGGAATGCAGGACCTCTGTGTTCATTTCACCTTGACATTTTTCTTTCCACCAGACCAGAATTTAAATGAAAAATAATAATTTTTTTCCTCACCTTTATGTTTTAGAGGGGAAAACTTTTCGACTTTATTGTGGAGAGCAGAAGAGAGGCAGCAAAGTGATGACACACCTTATTATCTACCAGCACTTGGCTGGAGGTGTTGGTTTGGTTTATTTTGCAGAGAATTCTTGGAGTTTGATTCCATCCGGGAAGCAATAGGGCATACTTGCAGGCTGTTAGACCTGGAGCCCTGCTCCTGCAGCAGGCGCATCCCTCTGGCATTACACCATCAGCTCTTATTTGGGCAAAGCCCTTCCTGAATGCTCTGCTTCCTGGGAATACTGCTGAGCACGTACATTCCCCTCTCCCTAGGATCCCCTGCAGCCCGCAGAACTCTTAATTGATTCAATTAGGATATTATCTTATGAGTTTCCTGTTAATGAAGAAGCTGTCTGCCAACATGTTAGCTGTTGATACAAAGCTGCTTTTGAAAGGTTCCCTCTCCCAGGGAGGCCCCGCCGGCGTTATCGCCTGCCCTGTTGATGCTCGGCCACAGGGCCAGCGTGCTCCCACGGTGCACATGGACCTTCAGCTCGCTCCAGAAAGACTCTCTGCCCAGACATTTCTGGGTTAATAAGAAAAACAGCTACTTGATAAGATAAATGGGTGGTGGAGAAATAGCAGGAGAAATGTGGCGCTGTGCCCTGTCCTGGTGTGTGGCTGTGGGAAGCCCCGCTGCGGGTCGGATATGCCACTGAGATGTCCGTGCCCGCGACCTGGCTTCGGGAGCCAGGCCCTGGCAGCCATGTGATCACCCTCCCACCCAGCATTACTGGGAAGGAGTTGGTAAAAAGTGTGAGACAACAGCTTCCTACACAATGAAAACACACCAAAATGTGTGCTTTAAATTGCACCTGCTCCAATTTTTTTTTTTTTTTTTAAGATTCTGTCACAAACACTTTAAAAAAATCTTGGAAGGGGAGAAACAATAGGGTTTTTGTTTCTTTTTTTCTCTTCATTTTTCTCCCCAGCCTGGCTGAGCGCCTTGCTGCGAGCCAGACTGGCACTTGGCCTCTCTGTGTTCTCCGTGCTCGGCGGGGGTAGCTGTGCTCCGAAGGGCTGTGTGTCTGCCTGCCTCTCACCTGCCCCGTCTTCCCCTTTTCCTGGGATCTTGGATGGCCTGGCAAGTTTTCCCTTCTGAGAGTGTGATGTGGGTAGTCTTGTTTGGAGCTTGAATGCAAACCCTCGCCGCTGAGATGATTTGTGGGAGTCTCTCTGTGCTGGGGAGAAGGGTGCTCTCCCGGGAAACCTGCCCTGCCTTGTCTCTGGTGTGCCTCTGTTTCTGCAGACCATCCTCTGTGCATCCCTCCCCCAGGGCTTGTGGGGTTGCTGTACTTTTACCCTTTTTCTATCCCTTTTGCAGGACTGTGTTTGCTCTCCTTGGCTTTCCTGGGCAAGAGACGTCAGCTTCTGCTGCGGTCTCCATCCTGCAAAATCAGCAGGAGTAAGATGGGCCAGAAAAGGGTACAGGGAGACTCAAAACCCAGAGAACTGCCAGCCGGCTTCCTCTGGGTCTCTGGAGGATCTCTCAGCTCTGGAGCTGACCTTTCCCCATCGCTGCTTTGTGCTTTTCCTCACTGCAACTTTACGGCATGTGGTGCTACGGAGAGCTGTCAGCCCACGACCCACGGGCTGGATTTCTGCAGACGTGTGCTCTTGTATCTTGCTAACGCAAACTGCCTGCCGTGATTACATCCGGCGCTGGGGTTGTTTTCTTTGGAGTGGGTCTTTTAGCTGTTCTTCAACCACAGGCTTATGCCTAGTAAAACTGATGAACTAGTATTTGCTGCTGCCTTCTCCAGAGCCGTGTGATGTGGCAGCCACGCTGGGTGGGACCCACGGGACCGACCCCTCTGCCTTGCTCCTTCCCCATCTTCCTCTCTTTTTGTGCAGGCCACAGGGCGCTCCAGGCACCTTGTGACCTCTTTTCTTCCCTCCAGCAAGAGAAGAGGTAGCAGCTTGTGAGGGCACAGGCGTGACGGCACCGACCCGCGGCAGGCGGTGCAGTGTCTGGTCAGGCTGGGCTGGTGCTGGTGGCTCTGGGCTGGAGGGGAGCAGGGTGGCTGCAGGGAGAGGGTCCCCACACTGCCTCCTGCTTGCTGAGCAGCCACTGCAAGGAGCACTTTCAGTCATGAAAAAGGAAATGGAGGACTTCTGGGATGAAGTTCTGGCCGGGTTTGGTGGGATCACATGGTCGGGAGCGGATCTGGCCAGGAGCACAGCCCAGGCACGTGCATACGGCAGAAAACATGGCTTGCACCGTTCACGCCTTGGAGGCTCTCAGTGCTCCCGGGAGCGAGAGCGCCTCAGCTCGCATTCAAAACTGAGAGGAGGAGAAAGCTTCCAGCGGCTGAAGTATTGTGCTGCTTAACAGCAATCAGATGTGCGGCGTTTGCGACTTGTTTTGCTCACCCTTCGGCAGTCACAAGCTTTCCCGAGCTCTTCCCAACAGGAGGAGCCGGGCCAGAGGCGCGTCTCCACTGTAGCACAACACGGGTGTTTTGCAGGGTAATGGGGATGTGGTGTCATCCTTTATTTTCCGGGGCTGAGGGAAGAGCAGGAGGGCATCGCGTGCCCAGGGAGGCTGGGGAAGTGGTGCTGCCCGGGGAGCCTGCAGTGCCTCAGGAAGGCGAGTCCTCCCTCGGCCGTGCTCGCTTTGTGGTTGCTGGTAACATCACCACAGTCCCCAGTTATTGCTGAGTTTGGAGTAATTTTCTTTGGTGTAAACTCTTTAAAATTTGCTTTGAGAAGAAGCTGTAAACAGGGTTCATTTGTGCTTAATGTCATCCTGGTTTTCAGTTGTCTTGTTTTCATTTTGAAGAGAATATTTAAGAGCTTCTTTTGGTTTTCCTGTTTTCTTTGGGAGTGTTGGCGGAGTTTTTTATTTCTTCTCAAAATATAAGAAAAATACTTCCTTCCTTCTGCCCCCCTCCACCAAACCTCAAGAAATTTATCCTGGTGCATCTGAGATCCAAGAAAAAAAATACAAGTATTGCATGTGCAGGAGTGCAGAAGGCTATATCGACAAAAAGGACTTAGCTTTAGCATTACAGTGCTTTAAACAAGCTCATGCCTAGCAGCAGAGGAGTCCACAGCCCTTAGCTGGGAGCAGAGACCTCCTGTAAAAAGCACGGGGTAGAATAGTTGCCAAAGAATAAGAGCCATGAAAAGCAGGGAGCCAGGTGGGACACATCCCAGGGGGTATCAGGACCCCAGAGTTTGGCCCTGGATGGACTCCCCATGGTGAAGGGGTTCCCCATGTTACGTGACGGAGCAGCAGATAGGAGGGAGCGTGGCCTCTCGTGGGATTAATGGCTCAGGCTCTCTGGTTGCATAGTTTCCTCTTTTCATGAAATACTTTAAATATTAATTGGGCCAGAGGAGAATGGCTCTTTAGACTTTGTAGGTGCTCAGGACACTTCCTAGGCGGGTTGTCTCCAGTGCTTCCGTAAGTGCTTAATTATTTATGCAGAGTGTACTAGCTCCAATAAGAGAGGGCAAGACCCATTTCAAATAGCCTGGGAACCAAGGAGCTCTTCAGGTGATGGGAAACTGAGCTCAGATCCATGCCCCAGAAAAAACAAGGGAGAGTTTGCATCTCCCTCCCCATCCTTCCAAAGGAGTATCTGAGTGGTTGGATGGATGGCTGGGCCTGCTCTTTCTATTCTTCTGCTCTGTGTACAATGCAAAGCCTAATCCAAATGGTGTTTTCCAGCAAGACCAAGTAAAGGAAATGCTGAGGACGTGGGTGCTGCCAGGGCATCGGTATTAAGCATCATAACAGCTGCAAGGAAGTTATGTGCGTGTGCTGAAGCCAGCAAGAGCAAGATCTGGTTATCACCCTCTTTGCTGACTAAACATACTAATTGCAGTTGCATCAGTCAGGAAATGATTTCTTTAATGCTGAAAATCCCATAAGACATTCATCCCTCAAAGCCTGTGTAGCACACAGTGTTCCCCAAACTTGACATATAACTTTATGGCCTTTTGCGGGCAAACATGAGTTGGTGCCATGAGTCCAAGTCAGCTGTAGTCCAGGAACTGTTGTCAGTGCTGTGTAATGCTTGAGCTAATAAGCTTAAAATATGCCTTTTTTTGAGGAGCTTCTGAGATCTAGTGACTAAGGTTCATCATGATGAAACTTAATAGTTGTAGAAATGCAGGTAACATAAATCACCCGTGCTGAGCAGAATGATATCTCACCACAGATGAGCAACATCAGTGGTGAGAAATGTCTTGAAAGTAGTGGCGATGATGCTAAGATCTTGTGGTTCTGGCACTGCTTTCAATGAGCTTCCCTTGGTGCTGCAGGTCACCATACCCTGGCTGATGGTGCTGCGTACAATGTCTCAGGACACTCCTGGTTTTAGAGAATGAGCTTCAGCTCCTCTTGGGGAGAGTGGCCTTGTGTCATGCAAGTTAATCACTTTAATCACCTCTCTTGTATTTCCTTTTCTAGATGCAAATGCTGGACAAGTTTCCGATGGAAGGAGGGCAGAAGGACCCCAAGCAAAGGATCATCCCCTTTCTCCCAGGTAGGTTAGTGGGCTCCAGCAAAAACCATGCTGGTTTTGGTGTGGCAGGAGCTTTTTCCTTCTGTGTATGAGGATACTCATGCTTTAGCTCTTATCTCCTGAACCATCTGAGCAATAGCAAGTTCTTGGCCTGCACCATGTCCATTAAAACATCTGTATTTGTTAGCAGTGTGCCCAGCGAGTGTTAAACCCCTCAGTCGTTCTCTCTCCCTCCTGAACTCATTAGTGAAGGACTTCAGCTGAGCAGCTCCGCTTGCACAGCTTCTGCCAGGAGCAACCTCCACAGCAGCCAGCTTGTTTTCAGAAGGCCAGCACGGCACAGGGCTGAGGATCGTGTGAGGCTCCCCAGGAACTGCTTATACGCTGTTTTTCCTGTCCCATGCAACCCAAAGGGCCATCCAGAGAGAAGGAAAAAACAATTGAATTCCACACATTAAATTAAGCTGATTGACAGCCGTGGCTTCCTCCCATGATGTTCGGGACTGGTTGCTCAAAGACAGGATTTCTGTGGCATGACGTGTGCCCTGCCAGCCCGGTGTGCAGCTGAGTGTTTGTATGCCCGAGGAGCGGTTGCAATGGTCTGTTGCAAACTTTGTGGTGTGGGGGATTGCTTGTGGCTGCCCTTTGGTGCTGCTGCTACGGGTGAAAAAAAAAAAACCCTAATGTGCCTTGCAAAAATAACCAGCCTAAGGGGGCTCTAGGAGTCTTTCATGCACCCATAGCTAATGCCTTTGACCACAGAGTTGTCTTTACCCCCACACCCAAGTAGCTAATGGGCATATTTAGAAACGTCACGGTACCATAATCACTTCCAGTGACTGTCACATCCATTTAGTGCAGCCCTTTGTGCTGTGCTTTGCCTCCTGGCCTTTCTGGAAACATAAAGGCATTTAGTGGGCTTTACTTTTCTCTGGCTGGCATGAAGAAAATCATTTACGCCTCTTTCTGAGCAAGAGAAACCTGTCTGGGTTTCCTATAGAGGGATTTCTGATTCTGGCTTGTCCTTGTAACATCAGCAAAAGCAAAGCACACCTGACATTAATACAGCAGAAAAGCCCTCACTGTACAAGTATTCCTGCCAGCAAGGAGTGGGAGGAAAAATGGAAGCCAAACTGGCAAAGGGCATAACTTGGAAAAATTGGACATACAGTTTGGCTGTGCAGCACTTGCAGAAAATTCCCACCAAAATGCTGCTATTTTTGGAAGGCAGCAATTGGGCTCGGGAAACCTGGTCGGAGCACTGCTTCTCACAGCACACTCATCAATATTTGTTTCTTCTTCTTGGTGTTGAAATAGTTTCCCTTTGCTAAGAGGCATGTCATTGGGATTTCCATTGGAGGAAAAAGGGGGCTGGAGTTGCTGGAAAATAAAGGCTGGCTCTTGTGTTGGAATGCAGTTTTGGGGAGTTAGGATGACCATACTCAGAGGAGCTTGTGCATTTGTGTGTGTCCTCTGCAGAGATGTTTGCCCTTTTGCGCTGGTCCCCTTTTTGCAACAGGATTAAATAATATCGTTTTCAGAGGTAGTCACACATTGACTTGGAAAACCGCTAGTTCGTGCTTCTCCCAGAAATTTTTCCTGACATTTCATTTTCTTGACCTGCAGCTTTACCACTTGTACTTTCACATGCCAGCACAGGGCAAGGGGTGGTGTGGTGAGAAGATCCCAGCACAGGGTGGTGTCCTACCTCCAAGCAGGAGGTAGCCACTGGAAAGACAGATAATGTTGCATCTGCCTGTCCTCATGGGGCAGCTTCAGAAGTCCTCTTGCTTCAGGGAATTTGTGTTACTAAGAAGTGGGAATCATGTTGCTTTTGCCCTCCTGCCTTTGCTGCACATCACCCAGAGGTCAGGAGCTGGTGGCTTTCTCTGGAGCAGGACGATGAGCTGTACCTCCCTGGTGAGATGGCTTGCAAGCTGTGTCTGCTTCTGAGAGAGGACTTCACTTAGGGGTAAGGGAAGGGTCTTTTAATAGTTGCTGGCTATGCTAGAGGATGTACAAAGCAGTGTGGTTCCTTTCTGGAGCAGTTTTTGGTCTTCCCACTTTGGGAATGGCAATGGGTTTTGTTACTTACAGCTGAACCCAAACTTCGTCCCTCTCTGCCTAGGGGAGCCATCTACGTGAGCTCGGTGCAAACAGCCTGGGTCTCTTTCTCTACAAAATGTGGGTCCAGTATGCTTAGTCTTGCTAGGGTTTTGATTATGTTCAGCTTGTGTGAGTACTGTAGTTTGTTCCCAATCTCATTTTGAGCAACATTTTTAGTGTCTGAATTTCACTACCAGTGGAGATTTGGCTCCAGTGATTTACTGAAAGTACGCTGCTTTCTGGGAAGTCCATTGTAGCGTAACATTAGACATTGTGGCCACTGCAATATTCAAAAATGTCTCCTGTGACCCTGTGCCTCCTGCAGCTCTGTCTTTCTTAGTAAGTCCCTAAGCGTCCCAAAATCAGAGTCACTGCCACGACCTGAGAAGGTGCCATCTGGGTTTGTCTGTCAGGCTGGTTTCCTGGAACGGGAAGAGAGTTCCATGATTACTCCGTAGTTACAACATCCAACCCACAGGAACTCTGTTTGCTCTGTGTTGCTTCATTTTGTTAATGTTTGCTTCGAGGATTTGACTTCTTGGAAATTTCTAGAGACTTTGGGTCTTTTGAAGTAGATCTCTGATAGTATCAGAAAACAGTCTCGTAAGTGCAAGTCCTTCAGCCCACTCAGCTCTTCTGAAGTGGCGTCATAAAGCTGGGTCCTCTGAAGCGGAGCAAAGCAATTGTACTTGAGGTTTGGGGCCGGGGGTTGGCACCACGCTCATCCCATAGCACAGCTTGGTGGGGTCTGGTTTTGCCTGGCAAGACATTGCAGTGCTCCTGCACCATGCCTGAAAAGCCTCTGCTGCCATTTAGGGGAATTTGAAGTGGACTCTTGGCTACTTTTGCTGGCTTTGAGCCCCTGGCACAGCCTGCCTGGCTTCATGTGGTGCTAAGGATGGCCCCTCAAAACAGCTCTGGCAGCACCCAGCCCATGCGTGGCATCGGCTGCAGGCCCTGGAGCAGAGTCAGGAGCAGCTGGTGAGAGGGAAGAGACCTGTCACTGTCTGGCCCGGGGGACGTCGTGCTGGGCAGCTCCATCCTCGCCTGCAGGAGTTCACACTAAGGGTTACACGTGTGTTGGCTGGGAGATGATGGTATGGAGACCCCAGGAAAGAATGAACTAAGAAAACAAATGAGCTCAGTTGGGCCTGCTGAGTAAGGGCTGTGCCAGATCTTTCAGGAAACAGCTTTTATAAGGAGAGTGGAGCCTTCCAAACTTTGTACAGCCCGAGTGGCCTGGAGCAGATCCTGGCCAGTCTGCTTCGCTGGAAACGTGAGCCTCAGCAAGGAGGGGTTGCCTGAGGCTGACCTAACTTTGGCTGTAAAATTGCTTTTTAGGAAGCTTTAGCTACAGACAATAGTGAACTCCCAAGAAGGGAGGAGAACGGGGGTTCAGTCGGATAAAAAGTAGGGTAAAAAGCAGAATGATGCGTCCTTTCTACTCCCTTCCCAGCCTGCCAAGCTGCTCGGCATGGGCATCAGTGGTGCCCACATACTTTGGGGCTTTTCTCCCAGAACAACTGTGAGGATGCTAATAGCCCTCCACACAGGCCCCATGAAGGAGGTGGAGGACAACTCATCCATTTTCCAGCTACAGTACCAGACCTTCCCCAGTCCCACTGCGTCTTCCTCAGAGCTGGAGATGGGGCAAAAGATGGGGCCTTGATTACTATTTTCTGCTCTAGCAAGATGGGCATTTCTGCTATAGCACTGTTGGGTGGACGGTCCCAGGCTAGCTTGCAGCCCATAATCAGTACGGTTGCCTTTTCTGTAGGGTTTCCACTAACCCTGCTGATGTGCAGATAGTATTACCCCAGGCAGACTGCTGTGCTGAAGCAGCTGCTCTGCTTTTGACCTTTGAGCTGTCTTTAAACAAACTACCTTACTTTCTCGTGGCACTGAAGACCATAGGAAAAATGGCCTTGGAAACATTTTGCTCCAGTGAACTCTTACATTTCTCAGTGAGCCCTTGCATGGATGAGTTGCAGTGCGGCTTTGGAGAACGTTTTGGGGCATCTTCTGATGCAGTTCTACTCTCTTGATCATGAAGAAAAGCTGCCGAGTCTGATGGGATAGCCAGAACTCAAAGGATTTACTAAGTAGGAGACTGCCTTTCCTCCTTCTTGTCTTCTTCTCAACTCTTTGTCTTTGCAGAAATGTCTTTTTTTTTTTTTTTTTTCAGTAGGAAGGGTAGCAAGGCCATTGCTGTCCTGCAATAGCAAAGCATGAATCGTTTGGGGTAGGAAGCCCAGGTACCGAGGGTTGCTGTTGAGCTGGGTGAAGAAAAGGTATCTCCTCTTGCAGCAACAAACTGACCCAATGATGCCATGAAGAGCTTTCACTGTTTTAGCCAAGGCCAAAATCATTCTCCTATATCATAGGTAGCAGCCCTTGAAGCCTTGGGGGCTCTCCACTGTCTTTTCTTCCATGGAGACTTCATGACCTATTCCTCTGGCCACCTCATCCAATGCCTGAGAGATGTCTTGCCCCCTCTCTTGTGCTCTGTAGTTTTCCCAGTAATTGCTGGCAAATAGGACTAACTGTGCTCCTTCCAGCAGGATCTCAAACTGTTGAGAGTGTAAGGGGTTGTCTTCACAGAAGAACTGTTTAATTCAGCTTCATTTCACAATGTATGGAACTCCATGCCTATGCTATACCCAGGACAGACCCAGAGGCACGTTGCTGGTCCCCCTCCTTTTTGCCAGGATATGTGCACAGTGCAGGACTTTGCCAAACAGATGCTAAGTGCAGGGTTCCTGGAAATGCCATCTCCCATGCCTGCTTCCCCATCCTAGGAATAGCCCACGTAGCTGGCCGCTCCATGGGCTGGGACTAATTATGTGTACATTTGGGGCTGCCTTTTTTTGAAGTGAGTTTGGAACCTGTGCCAGGGAAAATCTGGATGTGATTTG